AACTAACGTAACCTTTGTTCCCGGAGATAACGGGAACGAGTATTGCGTCCTAGTTGACACTTTGGGAAAACTCACCTATGGAGCTGCAGCCCGTCGAAATGGGCGGGGCTATCCGTCTATATAAGTAGGCAAATCTTGCCATAGGCTTCAGAATCTTTCGTCTGAAAGTAGCGATATATATAGCGTAGCACGGCCAGCTATGCAATACTCATTACCGTTATCTCAGGGAACTGAGGTTATGCAAGTAACCGAGTACGTTCCCTATCGATACGGTTCACTCATATTGAGTCATAGTTGACACTTTGGGAACGTAATCCAATAGCACCGATATAATCGCAGAAGGATGATCGTTGTATGGCCTTGGCCTAAGGCACTTGAGGATAAGGGCCCTGAAGGCAGCAAGGCTAGGCGAGGACATTCGCTCAAGACTAAGGGGCTCAAGACCACGAGGTCGGAGCCTTGAGGGATGACATTCTGAGAGGGTTGAGTTTGTGTAGAGGTCAAAGCCCAGCTAAACATTCAGGATAGTTGTAAAATCTGGCGAAGGTGAACGGTGAGGACTAGCTGGCCACCGCACAGATGTCGCCAATAGACACTCCACTGGACCAAGCCCAGGAGGAGGCCAAGCCTCTGGTGGAGTGGGCTCTCACTCCGATGGGGCACTGGAGGCCCACAGAAGCGTAAGCTAGCGCGATTGCATTCACTACATAATTATGGATATTAGGGCACTATATTAGGGATGATCTCTGCTTCGTGACCAGATGCCCTTTGGTGCGACCTCCGAAGCACACAAGGGGCCCTATTTTAACGATCTAAGCTCATGGTCTAAAGCGCACAGCGCAAGTGCACTTAGGGCGTGTCCAAATCCACTTCTGCTACTTTAACGATGGGAAAAATGTCCACATTGTGGGAAAAAACGCCACAGCCATGTTGTCCGAGCAGACTAAGATATGGTGCCCTTTCAGGTCTGGTAGGAAGTTTTTAAATACCAGAAAAACTGCCAGGATTTCCAGGCACTGTTTCTCCATGCTCGACCAGAAGATGTCGGCCTGCCCTCACACAGAGCTCCCCAACATCTGACGAGACCACCTTCCTTCTGGAGACCAACCCCAAGTGGCCGGCCTGGTACAGGCGAGGGTCCTTCCAAGGGGCCGGGGCCGTGACACAGCCGTGGTCCACCTTGATACGAAGGAACATGGGGTTTCAGCCAATAGGCCTACTGGAGCTGTAGAGACAGTGCTGCCAGCTTACAGCGAGTAAGGCTTCTACAGACGCTACCAAAGAAGCAAGGTGGCCTCAGGCCCATCCTCGATCTCAGGCACCTGAACCGCACTTTGATGAAACGGCTGTTCAAGATGCTAACATTGAAACAAATGCTTCTTTTGGTTCTTCTCAGTGGATCTAAAGGATGACTAGGTTTGGGTATCGTTTGAATTTTAACGATTCCGATTCCTGTTTCAATTCTGTTTTTCGATTCCGATTCTTATCGATTCCTAATTTCGATGCCAATAAGGCAACAACAACAACAACAACAACAAAAAAACTTAGATATCATTCACATTTAGTTTTATTGCAAAACATTTAATTGTAGCTGAATATCATGAACAAAAAACAACAGGCTAAAGAACACTTACACAAGGAGCGTTTGCCTGTGGTTTATAAATACCATAGCCTAACTAATATAAATGTAAAGCATTATTAAAGACAATAAACACTCAGTAATTAAAAAAAAATTAACAATCGCAACAAATAGATAAAACTGAACAAAGATATGATTGAAGTAAACAGTGTTTTAAGATTTTCAGGCATATATTTCAGGTATATCATATATATTCAGGTATAGAAACTGTAATAATGTCAAACAACTGCACTTTATAAATAAAATATACATTACAAATATAGTTACAAAAGTTATTCAGTCAAGAACGAGTGAATTTTCTCTTTGTCTTTTGTTGTTTTGATTAGTGTTATTATAGAGAGGGCAGGAATATCAGCGCTGTCACTTTAAGAGCTGCACTGATCCAATATACTGATACACACACGCCTGCTTCTGTCACTCTCCGTTGCCCAATATAGTTACACATGAAAACAGCAAGTCATCTCGCGGTTGAATTGTTTAAAGTCATATTGAAATGCTCACAAAGGAATCGATAAGAGGAATTGAAATATACATTTTATAACAAGTATCCGATTCTTGACCTCAAGTATTCGATTTCAGAATTGGAATTGATTTTCGATTCACAACCCTGAGGAAGAGTAATTTCATATCCAGATAGCCCCCCCATCACAGACCATTTTTGAGATCTGCGTTCGAGGGCGTGGCTTACCATTATTCCGTCCTTCCTTTCGCACTGTCTCTATGCCCCGTGCACTTTTACGAAACGCACGGATGCATCCTGATTTACCTCGACGACTGGCTCGTATTGGTCCAGTCGGAGCCAAACTTTACTCTGTCAGCTCGCCGGATGGCCGAGCGCTGAGCGTCTAATCTGTGCTGAGGCTCGTCTACTGCGAGAAGGAAGGCTCGTCTACTGTGAGAAGGAAGGCTCGTCTACTGCGAGAAGGCTCGTCTACTGCGAGAAGGAAGGCTCGTCTACTGCGAGAAGGAAGGGTCGTCTACTGCGAGAAGGAAGGCTCGTCTACTGCGAGAAGGAAGGCTCGTCTACTGCGAGAAGGCTCGTCTACTGCGAGAAGGAAGGCTCGTCTACTGCGAGAAGGAAGGCTCGTCAACTGCGAGAAGGAAGGCTCGTCTACTGCGAGAAGGCTCGTCTACTGCGAGAAGGAAGGGTCGTCTACTGCGAGAAGGAAGGCTCGTCTACTGCGAGAAGGAAGGCTCGTCTACTGCGAGAAGGCTCGTCTACTGCGAGAAGGAAGGCTCGTCTACTGCGAGAAGGAAGGCTCGTCAACTGAGAGAAGGCTCGTCTACTGCGAGAAGGCTGGTCTACTGCGAGAAGGCTCGTCTACTGCGAGAAGGCTGGTCTACTGCGAGAAGGCTCGTCTACTGCGAGAAGGAAGGCTCGTCTACTGCGAGAAGGAAGGCTCGTCTACTGCGAGAAGGCTCGTCTACTGCGAGAAGGAAGGCTCGTCTACTGCGAGAAGGAAGGCTCGTCTACTGCGAGAAGGAAGGCTCGTCTACTGCGAAAAGGCTCGTCTACTGCGAGAAGGAAGGCTCGTCTACTGCGAGAAGGCTCGTCTACTGCGAGAAGGCTCGTCTACTGCGAGAAGGAAGGCTCGTCTCGTCTACTGCGAGAAGGCTCGTCTACTGCGAGAAGGCTTGTCTACCGCGAGAAGGCTCGTCTACTGCGAGAAGGAAGGCTCGTCTCGTCTACTGCGAGAAGGCTCGTCTACTGCGAGAAGGAAGGCTCGTCTACTGCGAGAAGGAAGGCTCGTCTACTGCGAGAAGGCTCGTCTACTGCGAGAAGGAAGGCTCGTCTACTGCGAGAAGGCTCGTCTACTGCGAGACGGAAGGCTCGTCTACTGCGAGAAGGCTCGTCTACTGCGAGACGGAAGGCTCGTCTACTGCGAGAAGGCTCGTCTACTGCGAGAAGGAAGGCTCGTCTACTGCGAGAAGGAAGGCTCGTCTACTGCGAGAAGGCTCGTCTACTGCGAGAAGGAAGGCTCGTCTACTGCGAGAAGGAAGGCTGGTCTACTGCGAGAAGGAAGGCTCGTCTACTGCGAGAAGGCTCGTCTACTGCGAGAAGGCTCGTCTACTGCGAGAAGGAAGGCTGGTCTACTGCGAGAAGGCTCGTCTACTGCGAGAAGGCTCGTCTACTGCGAGACGGAAGGCTCGTCTACTGCGAGAAGGCTCGTCTACTGCGAGAAGGAAGGCTCGTCTACTGCGAGAAGGAAGGCTCGTCTACTGCGAGAAGGCTCGTCTACTGCGAGAAGGAAGGCTCGTCTACTGCGAGAAGGCTCGTCTACTGCGAGAAGGAAGGCTGGTCTACTGCGAGAAGGAAGGCTGGTCTACTGCGAGAAGGCTCGTCTACTGCGAGAAGGCTCCTCTACTGCGAGAAGGAAGGCTCGTCTACTGCGAGAAGGCTCGTCTACTGCGAGAAGGAAGGCTCGTCTACTGCGAGAAGGCTCGTCTACTGCGAGAAGGAAGGCTGGTCTACTGCGAGAAGGCTCGTCTACTGCGAGAAGGCTCGTCTACTGCGAGAAGGAAGGCTCGTCTACTGCGAGAAGGCTCGTCTACTGCGAGAAGGCTCGTCTACTGCGAGAAGGAAGGCTCGTCTACTGCGAGAAGGCTCGTCTACTGCGAGAAGGAAGGCTGGTCTACTGCGAGAAGGCTCGTCTACTGCGAGAAGGCTCGTCTACTGCGAGAAGGAAGGCTCGTCTACTGCGAGAAGGAAGGCTCGTCTACTGCGAGAAGGCTCGTCTACTGCGAGAAGGAAGGCTCGTCTACTGCGAGAAGGCTCGTCTACTGCGAGAAGGCTCGTCTACTGCGAGAAGGAAGGCTGGTCTACTGCGAGAAGGCTCGTCTACTGCGAGAAGGAAGGCTCGTCTACTGCGAGAAGGCTCGTCTACTGCGAGAAGGCTCGTCTACTGCGAGAAGGCTCGTCTACTGCGAGAAGGCTCGTCTACTGCGAGAAGGCTTGTCTACTGCGAGAAGGCTCGTCTACTGCGAGAAGGAAGGCTCGTCTACTGCGAGAAGGCTCGTCTACTGCGAGAAGGCTCGTCTACTGCGAGAAGGCTCGTCTACTGCGAGAAGGAAGGCTCGTCTACTGCGAGAAAGCTCGTCTACTGCGAGAAGGCTTCTTCTTCTTTCTTGTCTCGGAATCCAGTGAGGTGAAGATCTTTGCGCTGAAGGAGAAAGATTCTGAAGCCTATGGTGAGATTTGCTCGCTTACATAGATAGACGTGTAGCCCCACTGCGTGATTCCATCAGGCTTCAGTATTTCGGTAGCCTGGGAAAACCCAGACAACGTCCGGCAAATTTAGATTTGCTCTGAAAGTTAGTTTCCATTTCCAATCCGTCGAGATCGAGGCACCAATCAGAAGCGTTGGGGCGGCTTTACACGATGACGACAGCGCTGGGATTTTGAAGCAGATTTTGTGGCCTACATTACAAAGATGGATGCCGCCGTCGAACATCACTCGTTCCAATCAGCTATCGCGTCTGTTTTAAGCCATTTGAACGTTTCCCTTTTGTTAAAAACCGAGCAAAGAACAACACTCGGAGATGTGTCTCCGCCGCTCTGCATACGTCATCTCCTTCATCGCTCTGATTGGGTTTAGGTCTATCCGCGACGTCCGTTGGTGACGCCCCTCTGGAAATGATTTGTCTATGATGCTTTGCCAGACCATAACTCAGTTACAACTGAGAATGCTCTGGTTTTAACCAGGCTAGTATTTCGGAGAAAAGGAGAAAAGGGAGTTTTCCCAAAGCATTGACTAAGACGCAATTTGAGTGAAATGTATCGATAGGGAAGTATTTCTACACTTCTGCTTTGCAGCGCCACACAGTCTACAGACGTGTGCAGTGTGAATGAATGTTATTAGAGAGAGCGAGTGAAAGCGCTGAGTCACATAAACACATTCATCAGAGTGAACTGAACTCACCTTCAGCCTCGGTGAGATTCAAGCGCATGTTGATGTCACTTCCACTCTGAAGCAGAGACACACACTGTCAGTGTTACTGTTCAAACTACAAAACTAATGCAACTAATGTTAACAAATGAAACCTTATTGTCAAGTGTTTCCATTTTCATGTCTAAATAGTTTACAATGTTTGTGTGTACTAGTTCAGTGCAGCCCAGTGTGTGTGTGTGTGTGTGTGTGTGTGTCAGTGCAGCCCAGTGTGTGTGTGTGTGTGTGTGTACCAGTGCAGCCCAGTGTGTGTGTGTGTGTGTGTACCAGTACAGCACAGCTGCAGCTGTGTGTGTGTGTGTACCAGTGCAACACAGCTACAGCTCAGTGTGTGTGTGTGTACCAGTGCAGCGCAGCTACAGCTCAGTGTGTGTGTGTGTGTGTACCAGTGCAGCGCAGCTACATCTCAGTGTGTGTGTGTGTGTACCAGTGCAGCGCAGCTACAGCTCAGTGTGTGTGTGGGCTCCAGGCTGGTGACCGGGCACTGCATCGGGCCGCTCTGCTCGCGCGGGGGATCAGGCTGGTGGACCGGGGCCCGCAGCAGGTGATTCAGGCTCCCGTGGGTCCCGTTGTTATGGGATGGGGAGATCTCCAGCACATCTGGCAGGAAAGACGAACATGCAGAGTTGGACGGGCTAGATGACTAGTGTATTTGCTATTTTGAAACTATACTATATTTTATATTGTGAAGCACTTCAGGGGCCTCATTTATAAAACTGTGTGTAGGATCCTTGCTAAAACGTGCGCCCGAAAGCCAAAAATGTCGTACGCAAAAAAAAATCAGACTAAAACCGTGCGTACGCCAGAACCTGCGCAGAATTCACTTTATAAATCCCAGTCAGCGTAAGATTGTGAACATGCGTCTCCTCCCCGAAATAACCATATATGGAGATTATAGTTTTACTGTGCATATCCTCATCTGCATATCATTTGCATGATTATTCATCCACGTGATAACATGTTAAACGGTACAAGTAGTAGCCTTTAGTAGCCTATCCTTGCTTTGTTTTTTAAATAAATAAAATAGTGTAAAATACATTTCAGAGAAAGTTCTCAATCTTTTCCACTGGCCAAATAGTATTTTAATTGATTTATATTTTAATAGAAACAGAAAGACCTTGTTGTGCATTATTTGCACGAAACCATTTTCTCAGACAATCTGCAATTATCATGATCAGCAATTCTCTCTGTAGTTAAAACATTAAAACACAGCATGCCAGAGGAAAAGTGTTCAAAAGCATCGCATCCACAACAAATATTTATATTTATTCAATATAAAAACGTTGTAACATCTCAGTAATGATTTCATGTAGTTTAAGTGTTTAACTCCATTAATGAGAATGGCATATTTAATCTAAATGTTGATATCAGAAGTAAAACATAGTTTAAATCATTCATTTATTTATTTATTTAAACTGTTATTGTGAACATGCACTGTATTTATGATTAGGACTCATAATGAAGATTTACGGTTTTCCTTCATCTCCCGTTAGATAGGATATATGTGCGTCAGTTTCACTAAACGGCCCAACGCTCTCGCGGACATTTAAGAAGGGACGGATATTTGCTTCAAGTGATAGGTTTGGTGAGTGAAATTGTATTTGTATTATCTTTCTGTATAATTTTCTTTAGATTTTCTGTCTAAAAGTGACCAAAAAGACCTTTAACTCGAGCTCAGCATCGGTGTCGCCGTCTCCAAAACGTTGGTAAGCATTGCTCAGAGTTTGCGTGCGCACATTTCCCCGTCAAGTTTGTTTTTATAAATCACAGCTTATGCGACGGAAGTGGCGTAGCCTACGTCTCTTTCAGGGCCTGTTTAGTGCGTACGCAACGGTTATAAATGAGGCTCTATAAAAAAAGACCCTGACATGTGTTTTCTCATACCACACATGAGGTTGTACAGCTCAATGTTGGAAAACGGATCCACTTCCGTCTGAAAGAGGAATTTAGGTCCAAAACTGAGAAACGCGGCCTGAGAGAGAGAGAGAGAATCGACAACATAAGGCTGGAATACACGACACGACTCTTAACATTTACACTCACCGTTCAATCACATTTTCTGTGAAATCTGTCAACAAAAATCTGACATTAGACAAATAACGCTGACTCATTCAGACTTGTTCAAAAATCTGTGAAAAAATTGTGCATTTAGATTTCATTACAGCATCACACTCACACTCACACTCACACACTCACACACACACACACACACACACACACACACAAACACACACACACACACACACACACACACACACACACACACACACACACACACACACACACACACACACACACACACACACACACACACACACACACACACCTGCATACTGTAGATGTCATTATCATATCCATGATTTCCTCCGGAACAGAATGTGAGAGACCCCGGAGACCTGCAGTAACACACACACACACACACACACACACACACACACACACACACACACACACACACACACACACACACACACACACACACACACACACACACACACACACACACACACACACACACACACACACACACACACACACACAGTCAAAAGTTTGGAATAATTATGTTTTTAAAACTGTTTTGAAAGAGTCTCTTCTGCTCACCAAGGCTGCGTTTATTTAGAATAATATTTCACTGTTTTTACTCTATTTTTGATCAATGTAAATCAGCTGTTTTCTCTGTGAATATACAGTAAAGTGTAATTTATTCCTGTGATCAAAGCTGAATGTTCAGCATCATTACTCCAGTCTTCAGTGTCACATGATCCTTCAGAAATCACTCTAATATGAGGATCTGATGCTCAAGAAACATTTATGACTATTATTATCAGTGTTGAAAACAGTTGAATTGCTTCAGATTTGTGTGGAAACTGATACATTATTATTTTTCTTTGATGAACCGAAAGGTCAAAAGAACAGCATTTATTTGAAATAGAATCTTTTGTCACATTATAAATGTCTTTACTGTAGCGTTTGATGGATGTAATGTACCTCTCGAAGAGCCAGCGCGGGGTCACTAACACACTCACGTCCTCGATGCGCCTGTTGTGGGCGTAATGGAAGCGTTTGGGCAACAGGTGTTTCAGGTACGGCTTGATCTGCTGCTGAGGACGCTTACACTGGAACACAACAACACAACACACACACACACATCATCAACACACACTCACACAGCCATCATCAACACACACTCACACACACATCATCAACACACACTCACACACCCATCACCAACACACTCACACACCCTTCTGCAGATTCAGCACGCTACAAAACACACAGATGTTTGACTGTGTGATGTTGCCATCACACACACGCTGAAACATGTTCATTCTCCAGCTGTGTTCAGAATTTTACAGTGTGTAAAGCACACACACAAATTTGTCTTTTAAGTAAATTATGAAAACAATATATTATGCTAGAAAATATACATGTGGGGTTATAACTGTTAATCTCTTATTAAAACAATATGTGCGTGTAAATCGCTATATAAATAATCTTGACTTAAACTAATTACATTTAAAATCATTGAAAATGCAAAATAGCTGTATTTATGTCTGAGATGATGAATGTGCGACAGTCGCTGAATTAAACATGCAACATGATGAGATTGCATCTGAATTATTAAAAAACAGCTGGAAATATGCAGTGACACTTACCGACATGTTTGCCACGAGCGCAGCCGCGTCCACTGTCAAGCACACACACACACACACACACACACACACACACACACACACACACACACACACACACACACACACACACACACACACACACACAGGTCATGAATAAGTTTTACAAGAAAATTTCAGTCATCAAAATTTCTGGTTTAATTTAATATGTCACTTGCCGTTTCTTTGTAAATAATTGTGAGATTTACTTTCAAATTCTGAGTGATCTTTTTAGCTGTGGACTGCTATTCTAAATTCAGAATGAATTTTGTAAACACCCTTATCGCTATAGTATATGTCTGTGGTGTGAACGGGCCTCAAATCTGGAATTCATATACACAAACTTGACTTAAAGTGCAAAATACACTTTAAAAAATGATTTTTCAAAGTTGTAAATAAAACAAAGATTATTGTAGTATATTTGACAAGAAAATCTTAATTTAGTCTTTCTACGTCAAAGTTTCACACCTATTTAAATACTGAATGCTACTTGCCATTTCTTTATAATTAATTGTAAAATTTACCCGGCAATTTTTTTGAGTGAAAAACTTTTTCCAGTTCTGAACTGTGTGTTTGACCTACATGTGTGTGTTTTGTCTTTTGCTCTGATTCGTCCAAACGGACCCTCACTGACAAACAGATGATCAACATCAGCCACAAAATCCTGAAGAGCTTCTTTACGCTCACAGCTGGTCTCCTCCATACCTGCAAACACACACACACACACACACACACGTCACATTTGCACATTGAGAGTTTCTCCACAGCTAAACGTGTGTGTGTGTGTGGTTTACCGTGATCTGCGACGATGATGATGTTAACACATTGATGAAGGTTGAGTTGTTTGAGGCCGTTCATAAGCTGACCGATGACTCTGTCCACACCCTGCAGAGCCATGATCAGCTACACCAACACACACACACACACACACACACACACACACACACACACACACACACACACACACACACATATCATCTGTTGCTTCTGACCTTCATATATCAGAAAATAAGTGATGTGAGAGAAATATCATAAACACAGTGTGTGTGTAACTAATTAACACTGTTAAAATTAATTAAAAACATTAATGATTATTCAATTTCAGATCATTGACCCTTTTCGGAAAAAAAATGTCAAAATACAATTAATTATTTTAATTGTGTTTTACTACTATTATACACATCCCACAACAGCTCAGAGTGTCGAAACATTTCTACAATTTCAGTGTGTGAGTGTGTGTGTGAGAGAGTGTGTGTGTGTGTGTGAGTGAGTGAGTGAGTGAGTGAGTGTGTGTGTGTGTGTGTGTGTGTGTGTGTGTGTGTGTGTGTGTGTGTGTGTGTGTGTGTGACCTCCCCGAGGGTCCTTCATCTGTCCATCTCTTTACTCCTCAAAAGCCAGAGTGGCTTCAGGAATGAACGAGGAAGAGCAGACACGATATTACTTCTAGAGAAGTGCCAGGAACAAAACATTGACCTCTACACCACGTTCTTGGATTTAACCGAGACATTCAACACTAAGTCGTGAGGGGCTCTGGAAGATCATGAGCAAGTTTGGATGCTCCAAAAGATTCATTTGCATAGTAGCCAGTTCCACGACGGCATGCAGGGTTGTGTACTTGATGATGGAGACCCATCTGATCCCTTTTCAGATACAAATGGATGAAGCAAGGCTTAAACCAACACTGTTCAGCATGATGTTTTATGAAATGGCTTCCTGGACACTGACCCTGGCATCAACATCAAATACAGGACAGATGCCAAGCTGTTCAACCAGGCCAAGACCCTTTAAAAGCCTCAATGAAAGACTTTGGGATCAATCCCTCTTCATGCGAAGACCTTGCCTTACAACGCTCAGTCTGACCAACAGGTCACACTTCCGAGATCGGATCTGGCATCGGATGAAGTTGGTCATCTTCTTAACGGAAGAACGAACACAAGTGCGTGTGTGTCTGTATGTGTGTGTGTGTGTGTGTTTTCTCACTCCTCCACTGACGGGTCCAAAACTGTGTCCAGAACTATCAGGCTCCTCCAGGTACAGCGTTAGGAAGTCCGGCCTAAAGGACCAACAACAGCAGAAACACACAGATGAGTGAGCAAACTACAGATGAACACGAGCGTGATTATAATGATGAAGTTAATGTGTCTTGATTTAAGAATGTTTAGTTATTTGTACTGGAGTGGAGTTGGTATGAACACAAACACATGAAGCGAAACCGACATGTGACCTGATGAAGACGTGATGAAGATGATTTACCGTTTATCCTCTGGCAACTGGAGCCACCGTAGAACAGTGAAGACCCTCTCCTCATACGGGACCTTACTGCACGTACACACACACACACACACACACACACACACACACACACACACACACACACACACACACACACACACACACACACACACACACACACACACACACACACACACACACACACACAGTAGATTTGACCTGTCAACTAGTGATATTCATTTCTGCTGAAATACTGACACACTGACTAGTACAAATATCTGACAAAGGGCTGTATAAAAAAATAAGTGTTTTCACTTTGAATTAAGTGGATTATTTTGACCCCATCAGCAGATGTTTGTACTTCTTTAAACCAAAAACACATTTAGAGCAATTTAAAACCCTAATATCTTCAGTCATTTTGCTTATCAAGTAAATAAATGCATCTTGATTTAAGAATGTTTAATTGTTTGTACTGGAAAACAAGACCGAAACACTGAGGAAGAACATCATGTTTTGCAGGACAGGTAAATGTAGGTTGAGTGAGAAACTCTGACTCCGCAGGAATTTTTCTCCAGAGCTCCAGCTGTGAAGAATCTCTGGAACTGATCAGTGTGTTTATACTATCAGTGAATCTGACGCACTAACCAGCCGGCTGAGAGCGCATGACATAAACTAACCCGTCATAATCCATGTACAGATCTGGGAAACTCCCGTTTATGGGCACGTCGGATCCCGGCCAGAAGAACGTTCCAGCTTTCAGTCCCTGATACATGGCAGTGTTCCAGATCTGAGGTCAAAGGTCAGGAGTTAGGGGTCAGGGGTCAGTACAGATGTACATGTGTGTGTGTGTGTGTGTGTGTGTGTGTGTGTGTGTGTGTGTGTGTGTGTGTGTGTGTGTGTGTGTGTGTGTGTTTGTTTTTGTGATATATGAGGACACAAATGTGTATAATGACATGCATATTACACTGGTATTACAACTTACACGTGATATATGAGGACATTGCATGAGTC